TGCTATTTGATTTCATTTATCTCACTCAGTTCTGATAATAACCTTGCAAAGAGCTTATTAGCATTCTTCTAACAGTAGTACACATGAGGATCTCTAAAGGTAAATAGCTTCTCTAAGATCACCACTATGTAGTGAAGAGAAGGCAGGAACTCATCTTCTGACCCTCAGTGTGGTCTTCTAAAACCTTCTGTCCTTATCAGATGATCTGCATTCAAGTGCCAGCTCTACTGCTTACTGGCTATTCCAGGGCTTGGGCAAATCACTTAACCTGTCAGCTTTCTAGTATCTTCACCTAGAAAACAGTGAGAACAGGAGTATCTCACCAGGCTGCTGTGAGATTTAAATGCTCTAAGACACATGAACATGCTTTAAAAGTTGTTACTTTTGCATATTACTATTTCATGCCCTGCCCTGTGCGATGTTAACTGTTTCATATTACAAATTGATTATTTTTAGCTACAGACCTCCAGTAACAGAGCTATTATCTTGTTGTATGTTAGAAATTTTCGAAGGATATTTCTGCAGTCTACTGAGGTTTAGGTGGCATAAAAGAAATCTAAAAACTTCTTGATTCAGGCCTAACTTTCAATACCCCCCAAATAAGTTTAATATTGGCAAAACCTAATCCATTATAATTTTCATTTTGACTAGGTAGTATATTACTATGGTTTAAATTTCAAAAGACACCAAAGGGTATTAGTAGGTGCAAAGTCTTCTGAGCTGGTCCCCTAGCTTCTCAGACCCCCTCCCCAGAGACAACCAATATTTTTGTCAGTATCTCATGTATTCTTCCAAAGATACACAGGTGTATCTATTCTCTCCTGCCCACTTTTTACATAAATGGTAGCATCCTACATACATTTCTTCACCTTGCTTTTTTTCACTTAACAGCGTTATCAGTAAATAAAGAAGTGGTTGGGTTGTTGTTGTTTTTTTAACTGCATTAAATTTAACTTAATCCACCCCTTATTAAAGGACATTTAAGCTGCTTCAAAGCTACAATGAGTAATCTTACTCACTGAATATTCTGTAGGTATGAAAATATATCTAGTGCATAAAATCCTAGAGGTGGAACTGCTAGGTCAAAAGATGGGTATTTTTAATTTTTACAGATATTACCGAACTGCCCTTCACAGAGCTTGAACCAATTTATATTCCCATTGGCATTTACCTCTCCAAACCATATGTATTATGAAATTTACAGATCTTTGTCAGTTTGCTTGCTAGCCAGAAAATGGTATTCCCCTTCCTATAATGTTTAGTTTTACTTTGTTATAGATCTTTCTGAGAAGGGATAAAGTGCCGATAGGTACGAAAACAAGGTGACAACAAATTCACTCTGCAAACCTCAAAATACTCAAAAGTCGAATTTTATAATAAATTTTTAAAAAGCTCTTTTCAACCTAGCAGAAAATAATAGGCATGCTGCAAGGTATAGTTCAGTCTAAATGTAGGAATAGGGTTAAAGCAGAATTAGAAAATATATACATATTAAATTTGTGGTAAGTTACTAAGAGAAATTAAGGGTAGTTTCTCTGTTTCCCTTGAGTTTTGAAGTTTGATTTTTCTTTTTTTTTTTTTAAGATTTTATTTATTTTTTAGAGAGCGAGCGAGAGAGAAACAGCATGAGAGGGGAGAGGGTCAGAGGGAGAAGCAGGCTCCCCGCTGAGCCGGGAGCCCGATGTGGGACTCGATCCCAGGACCCTGGGATCATGACCTGAGCTGAAGGCAGACGCTTAACCATCTGAGCCACCCAGGCGCCCTGATTTTTTTTTCAATTTTAAAATTTTAGGAACTTATATATATATATATATAGTCAGTTCTGCTATAATGCTTATCTAGAACATGCAAATTTGTTCCAATTTGACTGATATATTAGGGGACAATATGAGCAATTTCATCTGAGAAACACTAAGTAAACACATAAAAACTGCACCCATCGGCACTGAGCAGTGTATGAATACACAAAACGTGCACATCCCCCAAACATCTATCACATAGTCAAAACAGTGGGGTACTGACATAAGGATAAATATATTGGTCAATGGAAAAACAACTAAAGTCATGTGTTTATGATCAACTGATTTTTGACAAGGGTGACAAAATCACTCAAAGGGGGAAAATAGCCTTTTCAACAAAAGGTGCTGAGACAACTGGTGGGCCACATGCAAAAGAATGAAGGTAGGCCCTTACCTCACACTGTATACAAAAACTTATACAAAATGGACCAAAGACCCAAATGTAAAACCTAAAATTATAAAACTCTTAGAAGAAAACATAGGAGTAAATCTTTATGACCTTGGATTTGGCAATGGATTCTTAGATGACCCTAAAAAACACAGCAACAAAAGGCAAAGACTGATTAATTAGATTTCATCAAAATTAAAATCTTTAGTGCTTCAAAGGACACAATGAAGAGAGTGAAAAGATAACCCACAGAAAGAAAGAACGTGCAAATCATGTATACAATAAAAGATTTGTACTTAGAATATATAAAGAACTCTTATAACTTAATAGTAAAAAAGACAAATAACCCAATTCAAAAATGACCAAAGGATCTGAAGAGAGATTTCTCCAAGGAAAATATATAATTGCTAATAGGCACATGAAAAGATGCCTCACATCTTTAGCCAGTAGGGAAATGCAAATAAAAAACCCCAAGGAAATAACAATTTACACCCATTAGGATGGCGATAATCATAAAGGCAGATAATAACAACTGTTGGCGAGGATGCAGGAGGAGAACTGGAGGCTTCATACCCTGCTGTGCGAATGTAAAATGGTGCAGCCACCTTGGAAAACAGTCTGGCAGTTCCTCAAACAATTAAACAAGTTATCATAAGACCCAGCAATTCCACTCCTAGGCATATACTCAAAAAAATAAAAACATTATGTCCATACAAAAACCTGTATACAAATGCTCCCAGCTGCTCAGTCATAACAGCAAAAAGTAGAAACAACGCAGATGTCCATCAGCTGATGAGTGGGTAAACAAAATGTGGTATACAAACGCACAATGGAATGCTATTCGACCATAAAAAGGAATGAACTACTGCAGAGATGAACTTTGAAAATATTATGGGTAAGTGAAAGAAGCTAATCACAAAAGATCACATTTTATATGAGAACACTTTTATGAATGTCCAGAATAGGCAAATCTACAGAAACAGTAGAGATTAGTTGTTGCTTAGGGCTAGAGGAGCAGGAGTAAGGAGGAGATACCTAAAGGGTATGGAGTTTCTTTTTTGAGGTGATGAAAATGTTCTAAACTTGACTGTGATGATGGCTGCACAACTCTTGTGAATATACTGAAAACCACTGAATTGTACACTTTAAATAGGCAAAGTGTATGGTATTTGAATTGTATCTCAATACTACTTAAAAGTGGCAACTCTTCCCACACTACTTCCAGAAAGCAAATTTCAGGGGTTTTTTTTCCCCAAGGAAAAGGACCATATTCATTATAATGTTTACCAACTTAACTATTTAACATGTATAAAACTATACTACCATTTTTATTAAGTTCCTGTCTTTTTTATGTATTATTGTCAAGAGTTTTCGAGTGTTATGCCTCAATCCTGCCTTTCCCATAAGCTCTGTGTTTTTTAGTGCCCAATTTGCATAGTGTAGGGATTTCTAGGGATGCATATTGCACACTCTGGCAGAACTAACTGCAGAATCAGATGACAACGTCTCCCCCAAATATACCAATATTAGAAACATAGTTCAAAACTGAGTAAATCACCAATCCAAACCTATAATGTTTCAACTGTTTTTTACTGCTTAAAAATTTCAAACTAAAATGCTAGAAGAAATGAATGCCATTAGGGATACTATGGTAACAATGTGGGAAAGTTTTCAATGATTACACTTTTGTTTTCTAGAGACCGTTTCTAGAAGACAGTTCTGCAGGGAAATAATATTCATTTCAAAAGGAAACGTCAATAATTTCTGGAGCCTAGCTGCTAGCCAGCAGCAGCCTCTGTACTACTTGCGCTGTTCCCTTCCAAATTACAAAAATTACCACTTTCACTTCAGTTTCTATGGTTTCATTCATTACCCTAGCATGGATATCTTTCCCTTTTCCCTTCATCTCACCAAATCTCACATTCCCGATCCAAATCCTTTACTGACCATTCCCCCTTCCAGCTCATTCTTCAGTGGTTTCCTACCCCTCTGAATTCCAATAGCATTTACTATCTGATTGACACAATTTTAATCTCGTATTGTTTGTTCATTTTATTCTTGTCCCTTGACCATACAACTTCTCAGCAAGAGAATCATGGCTAATACTTCAGAACCCACACAAAGCTTCACAGCATGGAGCACAGAATAAGAACTCAAGAAATTTTTGCTATTGGGTGATAAATAGGACAAAATCACGGGCACCCAATAACTTTACAGCTTTCTTAGTCACGATTTAACCATTTCTGATAGGAACCATTTCAATGCCTTTGAAGAAGCTAACTAACTTAGCTGTGCTGAATTTATATATGGCTGCTAAGGAAATAAAATCCTATAAAACTTGCACTCAGAAGTCTTACCACAAAAGAGGCTAAACAAGAAATTACAGTTGTTACACTAAGCATTTTTAGATTTTGGATCCCAATTCTACATTGTAAGATGTATGGAAGCAATTTTATCTATAGCAATTTTATCAGTGACAAATCATCCCTGAGGAGTGGTTCTCAAAGCCTTCTTTTGGTAGGGGAAACCTTTTTTCAAACAAAAGGCGAAGTGGAATCCTCCCATACAGAAAAAAAGCAGAGCTGATCTTGCTAAAGTGGAAGGAGGAGCCTAGAGTTCTACCTGCTTGAGTCCCCTCTCAAATGTATACAACCCCTTCCCTATCCCCAACCCCCAACCCCTTAAGGCATTCTTGAGAACCATAGTCTGGAAAAACACTCGTAGAATAATCAGAAAGCTGCCATGAATAGAAAAACACTACATTATTTTTTTTTTAATTTCAAACACCACTAAAATATAAAATTAAAACTTACCCATTTCTACTGAAAACTCTTAGCCATGCTTTGATGTTTGGTCCTAACAAACACAAACAAGGTACAGTAGTAAAGGTAGACAAAATAACTGCAAATAAAAATGTTTCCAACACCAACCTAGAAAAAAAAAGCTTTGATTAATTTTTTTAAAGCATTAAAGGTGCATGTACACGACATAATCTTGGCTATTTAAATAGATTTAACATAAAAACATTTTCTTATACTTTACTTTGAAAGGTAACAGGAGTCCTACCAAAATGATAACTATAAAAAATTTTACTACTGAAATACAAGCTATAAAAAACAATCTAGCAAATACCCGGCTTTATTTTTTTTAAAGATTTTATTTATTTATTTGTCAGAGAGAGAGAACAAGCAGGGGGGAGTGGCAGGCAGAGGGAGAAGCAGACTCCCGGCTAAGCAAGGAGCCCGATGTGGGACTTGATCCCAGGACCCCGGGATCATGACCTGAGCTGAAGGCAGATGCTCAACCGACTGAGCCACTCAAGCATCCCAAATATCAGGCTTTAATGATAGAGTTCAGAAGTGTTAAATACCCTCGGATCCATGTGAGACTCTCCACTGCAAGCAACCCCATTTTTAGATAATTAACTTTCTTCCTGAATAGTCTCTGGAACTTTCTCTGTAACTACTGGTTCAACTCTAGCTTATACTGGAGCCACTTGGAAAGTGAGATAAAGACTGGGGGGCTGCACCCCTAGAGTTTCTGCGGCCTGAGAATTTGCTTTTGATAAAATGCTGATGCTGCTGGTTTTAGAACCACTGCTCAAGACATTCATTCTACTCTACAATGGATTAAACAGAAACTACCATTTCCCATTACAAAGGTCTTGTCCTCACCTCTCTAGAAAAGAATTACCTATTAATTTAGTGTGTGTATATATACAACTATGTGTAAATATATATAAAACTACATACATAGCTATATGTGTGTGTCACAACTTGTCTCACCATGATCTTTTTTTTTTTTTTTTTAAAGATTTTATTTATTTGACAGAGAGAGAGAGAGCAAGAGAGGGAACACAAGCAGGGGGAGTGGGAGAGGGAGAAGCAGGCTTCCTGCCCAACAGGGAGCCCAATGCAGGGCTCGATCCCAGGACCCTGGGATCATGACCTGAGCCGAAGGCAGACGCTTAACGACTGAGCCACCCAGGCGCCCCTCTCACCGTGATCATTAATCACTGCTAGATGAAGTTTCCCAGTCTGTGATGAACATTATATAAGAAATATTCATGAATTTAGTTTTTTTTAAAAAACTGGTCAGCTTTGAAAAAGTGCTGAGTTAAATTTTGCTTTAAACTATCAACATTAGGTTATTAAATAATTAAATACAGGAATCTACTGACTTAAGAAAAACTTCTTTCAAGCACTTCAGAATCATATTTACTGATATGCTAATTGTAACTAATTTATACATATCATTATAGTAAGTTCCCTTAGAGGTTCTAAGGGCCACACATTTATTGGTATAGTTTCTCATCTACCTCCCCGCCCCCCACATGCAATGGGGCAATAAAAGGCTAGGTAATAGAAGCATTTAATGAATTAAGTTATTCTCCTTATGAAGTAATGTTAAAAGAATATCATTACTAACAAAGGGCAATGATGTCAGTATCCTTCTGTGATCTGGTAATTAAACACACCATGGTTTTTCATTCATCACCAACAGAATTAGTGCTTTGTTTAGTAAACAAGTGTTTTAAAATATTATTGCCTTAAGGTAAAAATTTCAGACTTACTCTATGAGTGGTGCTCCATATAGAACAAAAATTACATGAAAGAAGAAACATGACATAAGAAAGTAGATACAGCATTTCAAAAACCTGGTTACCTAAAAAAGAAATGAGAACAATTTGAAGGCTCATGACAATGCCTAGAGGACAGCAAATGCTTCCACTTTATCTACAAATACAACTTATTCCCATGTGTGCAACAGTTGAATGTTCTTTACGTCGGGTAGCCTGAAGTGCACGGACCTCCAGACAGCCCCACAAAAGAGCCTACAAGTCACAAATCATCACCCATATTCCACCCACCTAATCAGCACTAGAATCAAAAAAGCATTTCTGTTCCTACAGTATGCATTGAGCTATGTTACTAATCAGTATTTATAAAATATTTACCAACAACAGAACGCTATGATACAAAAAAACGCACAGTCCTTATTATGTGATGCATGAAATCTTTGCAGAAAATAAGGACTACAGTTTTTTTTTTTTCATTTAAAAACAAAATTCATTTAATTCATTTATAAAACAAAACAATTTGGAAAATTGTACCAAAAAAACACAATACTAAACAATCCCCCCAAATCATATTCATGTGATTATATGATGCATATGATAAAAGACCTGCATGTCTGCAAATCAGTGTGGGATCTACTTGATTTGGAGCTTAAGAAGATCTAATTATAAGACACACAGTGAGTTTTTTAATTGTAGGGGAGTAAATGTGTTTTAAATTATCTAAGAAAGCTACAATAGTATTGGGTAATGTTAAGGGAGGACTTTATTAACTTAAAGTAATAGTTAAGTGTTACACATAGTGAATATTCCAGAAAATAGATTCTGATATTTGAAAACTTTAACACTGTTTAGTCGAGGCAGGTCATGTTCAAAACAAAGCTACCACAGAGGCTTATTTGGTAATTTCTGAAAAATCCATTAAGTTTCTCTCAGAAATGGAAAAAATAAATGAAAATAAACTAAAATGTCTTATAAAGTTTAAAGATATGAGTGCTACATCATGCATTTATCTGCAATGGTGACTTAAAACATGACTATCTAGGTTTACAATGCTGTAATATCCACTGAAGACATCCTAATTCCACAACTGATGCTTAGCAAGGGTCTATTGAACATTGTGGGCAGCCTTCCAGCAATAATAGGCTATTGATTTGGGGAAAAAAAAAAAAATCAGGTTCTCTTTACTCATTGTAAATAACCCCATGAGTACTTGAATAATACTTTATTCTTTCATTAAAAGAAACACTACCTCTATCTAAAAATCAGTTATTAAGAAATAAGCCTTACCTTGTATGAAAATGAACTTCTTTTAGAGGATGCATTTGGTTTCACTACTAAATATAATACTAGATTGATGGCAGTTACAAAAACAGAACAGATGCACAACCATGTCAAGTGTGTTTCCAATATTGAGAAGTTCTCCAAGAAGAATGATGGAATGAAGATGCTTAGGATAATTGAAAATATGCATAAAAGATGGGCATACAGTAGTCTCTTGATATCAGTATCTTTCATGGTGTTTTCCTGAGAGGCTATCTAATGAAAAATTAAGAAAAGAGCATATCCAGTAATGATTTTTTCCATTGTCTAAATGCTCCAACACCTATAAGTAAACATGAACAAGTAAATTTTCTACGCACAATAATGTATTAGGTTCAGAATATGGGAAGATGCATATGTATAAATGTACATGTAGACTAATATGGCTCAAAAAGGTCTCAGAGCTTGAAGAGGACAAATTTACTAATTTCTTAAATATTTATAACTGGTTTCTGTAAAAGGGTCACGTATTAGGTCCAATTAAGGGATTCGTTTTCTTTTTCTGTTTTTTGCCAAAATCACAGAGGTAAAAACAACATGCACGGATTAATGATTTGCTCTTGTTGGAAATATAACCTATGCATTCTAGAAACCCCATGAATACACTTTGGCCAAAATGTTGGCTTTTTTTTTTTTTTTAACCACTGTGGACCCTTGTCTAACATCACAGTAATTCACATCTTCTGGCAAATGACAAGTGACACCAAGTGCACACTTGAATACTCAAATGGTGGCCAGTGTAATCAAGAAAGTTCAAAGAACATTATGCTAAACTAAGGGATCTCAATGCTCCAGAGATACCAAAATGACAATGTCTGTTTCATTTGCTAAGTTCCAATCAAAAGTAGAGCATAAATAAGAGAAAAAAGTCTACCTTCTCTCTATAAAATACACATTATATGTATAATATGTTTATTTATAAATTACTTAACATAATACATAGTACTGACTAATGTTAAGTAGGACCTTACTAAAGTAACAATCCACATGTTACACTGTGGTGAATATTCCAGAAAAACAAACGGGGAGGTCCAGGCCTTATCCTAACAGCTCTGATCTAATTCACACTACAATTTTCCAAGGCAAATATTCTACTGATAAGGAAACAGGATAAGACACGTTAGGGGACATGTCCAAGGTCCCAAGCTCCCAAGCACGAAAGCCACGTCAAAGCCTCGCCTCTTTGATATAAAGATACACATCAGGGGTTGAGAAAAGAACAAACTGCAAGAAGGGAGAATGGAAAAGTTTCTCGCAGGTCCTATCCTCCGCGGACTGAGGGGCGGGGCGGAGGATCCGGAAAACACGGTCTCAACCGACACCTCTTCGGATTATTCTTCTGGGCCCCTCTCAGAATCCCAAGTGACACGAGCAGATTTGGATCTAATACAGTGAGCAGTACCCAAACTCAAATGCTTGCTGAATGAATGAACGAACGAAGGAAAGAGGGTGGGTCCTGCGAAAGCAGCCCTGGGGTGGGCCCTGGGGAGCACACAAGGACGCCCGTCGGGCGCCCCTCCGGCTGCCACGGCCCTGGCGTCCGCCGTCTGACCTAGCCCGGGTTCGCAGGCACTGAGGCTCGCACAGGAGCCTCCGCGGAAATCGCAGGACCTGTCTCGGCAGCCCCACCCCAAGCTCGGTCGCTCGGGACTCTGCCCAAGCCTCACCCAGGGCGAGTGTGAGCAGCGGGGGACGCGCTGAGAGGCATAATCAAAGAGCACGGGCGCGGAGACCAGGAGAAACGGAGGGCCACGCAGAAAGACGGCTCCGAAAGAGGGCCGGGTCCATCAGGGCAGCCCCTGGGTCACGCCGGAAGGGTGGCCCTCGGACGGACGGCGGGCGCAGGCGGGCTGGGGGCACATACGCTCTCGGTTATATGGGCAATTGGTGGGGGCTGCTCGCACCCCCGGGAGGCCCGCGTGCCGGGAGGGTTCCGCGGGGCTTACCTAACTCTCCCGCCAGCGGAAGAGAAGCGGGGGCTACTACCTCCCACCACCAGGTACGATTCGCCGCCCTGGCCATCGCGCAGGCGCAGGCCTGTGGGGCGGAGACCCAAGACCGCACAGCCAATTGCAGAACCGGAGGGGCGGGCAATGGGCGCAGCCCCGCCTTCCAGCTCGCGTTTAATTCCTCCCGCGGCTTCTCAGGTGTGGAATGGGCGGGGCGGAGGGCGGAAGGGCCGGAAGTGGGTTATCGTAACCCGGAAGGGGAATCCTTCCCTGGCTGTTGTGTTGACATTTTCGAGCTGCTGCTGTTTCTGCGGCCAAGGGAGCCGTCGGGGAAGGATGGTGTGCGAAAAATGTGAGTTAAGGGGCCACATCTTTGGGAGAAGGAGGCTAGGAGAAGCTAACTGGAGCTCTTCGGGTACTTTGCCTTTTCTTTGTTTTTCTTTCGGCCACAGGTCTCCGATGCCAGCCTTTGTCCTTCTACCCCTTTGACCATTCCTTCCCTCCTCCACGACCGTATAGTCGTTTTGCATTCAGAGTGGTCTCAGTTTTGCACTCATTTGTCTATTTCCTTTGCCTCCCCTACGCCCAACCCGGGATCTCATACAGCTCTTGACTGGCTCCTTCGCCTCACAGACCCTCAGGGTTGGAATGGATCTTAAAAGTAACATACAATATCTAGATTTTCCAGATTTAGCAACATTAAAAAAAAAAAAAAAAGAACACTTTATTAGGAGAAGTAGGTCCCGTGCAATATTTGAGACTTGTCTTTGCTTGGTGCTCTTTACTACTGAAAGTGCATTGGACTTACTTTTAGGACGTGACAGTACTAAAACGCCATTCATTGTTTGAAATTTAAATTTAACCGGGCATCCTATATTTTAACCAGCAGCCCTAAGTTAGCAGCCTATCCAGTGGCTTAAATGCTCTTTGCATGAATACCTGTGGTATTGAGGCAGGGTTCAAAAAGTCTCACCACCTTCAAAGCAGTCTGTATCGATGTCTCTCACTTTTAGAAAAGTGCTTCCTCCCTATTGTTGCCATCAGTGATTCTAATGTAAACTCTTGAGGTTTCTAGAAAATACGATTTTTTGATGTCACAGACTGTTTGCTTTAAAACGGCTGTCATATCCCTAAGTCTCTTTTTCCTCAGGCTAGACATTTCTGGCTCTTCTGAGACAAGGTTTCAAGTCCTCTTATCTGGATTAATATTAACATAATCCACTTTGTTTATACCTCCCCCCCACACAGTAGATAAACCTTTGAACACAGGCACGCATGAGTTTGAATCACAGTTTTTACATTAGGTAAAAGAATAACTATGGGCTAGTATCGAATATTTCTTGGCCCCAGTTTTCTCATCTGAAAAATGAGAAAAATACATAACTTATGGGTTTTGTGAGAATTAGATAATGTAGGTAAAGCCTGATTTAAAAGTGCCTTAGTGTATACTCAAAAACTGGTTATTTCTATCATAACCCCCAATATGTGGCACTCAGAATTGAACTCTGCCCCATTTTATGAGGGGTAGAGTGGAACTAATATTTCCATTTTTCTGTGCTTTATATCATCGTCTCACATTAAGCTTTTAAAAAATTATTGCAATGTAATTGACATAGATACAAGTCACCCATTTAAAATGTACCATTCTGTTATTTTCAGTATATTCACAGGGTTGTGCAACCATCACCACAATCAATTTTAGAATATTTTCATCGCTCCAAAAAGCACATTAAGCTTTTTGACATTGATGTCCTTTAACTCTACTCCATCCAGTACTTAAGTTTTTTGGTTTTGCCTCTTTGAGTAAATATGACTTACATATATTTAGGTTATGCACCTTCCTTGATGTCTTCTCTTTTATGTAGTATAGTTCCTAAACATGTAAATTTAGCCTCCTATGTAATTTGTGTTAATTCTGTATATTTTAACTTTAGAGGACTGTTATTCTGCCTGTTTTAACTTGTTTTGTGTGATGTTCTTTACACCATAAGTGCTTTTTCTCAGGGAAATTGAGGATACTGGGCAAATTGTGAGAGTTAACTTCCTAAGATACATGAAAATTTTGAGAACCCAAGATCTGATGTGGTATTAAAATAAGTACACATAGTTGGTTCTGGGACATGATATGTGTCCTAAAAGGTCATTTGCTTTTTACTTCTCTGCACTTCTGAAAGTCTATGTATTATTTCTTTGCTCTGATACCTTTCTACCTTCTATAGCATCTTATTACTCAAATAAATAGACTCTTAATTCAAAGACCTTTTTTTCAGTCCTTTTCTACTCTGTGACTTTGAAACTTGGTCTCGATTCTCTTTGAATTTACTTCTCCCTGTGCTTCTTTACCATTATAGTCTCCAAGTTTTCTTATTCTCCTTCTCACTTAAAGTAGATGTTTCCCAGTGATCTGTATCTGACCTTCTTCTGACTGTTTTGGAAATATCTGGCTTCAAGTAGCATATCCATGTCAGTAAATGTCTAATCCACATCTCCAGCTGACTTCTCTCTAAACTAAAACCAGTAGAAGAATTTTCTCCAGACAATACTGGGAACCTCCATCTGGTTGTTACGTAGTAGTGTAGTACTTAGTACAAGATTGAATTTGTCATCCTACTTCACAAATCTGTACCTTCTCTTCCATCATTTAATGGCATGGCAGTCCTCCCAGTCACCCATTCACAAAGCCTTAATCATCTCTCATGCATTCCCCTATCCCTTTGTGATCCTGCATCCAAACACTTGCATGTCCTGCCGTTTTTACTTCCATTCAATAGCTCCTATTTTTCCCTAGCCTCTCATTTACCCCTCAAATACCCTAGCTGAGGTCTCCATCACTTGAGTTAGACTAATGTGATCCCCTACCAGCCCCTTTCCCTTCAAACCGTGTTCTCCCTGCCTTTGGCTCTTCTCTCTCTAAACTGTCCTGCCTGCGTGTGAAGGCTACTGGGGAAAACTGTACAAATGAACCAGTTGGTACCACTACAAGTGTATAATTCCTAATCTCCAAGATCTTTAATACTATTCATCAGTCTTTTTAACTTATCTTTAGTCAGTCCCCTTGCCCTTTGTCGCTAGTGACTATTCCAAGCTCTCTGGTCCCTTAAACTTCCACACCTTCACCTACCTCATCCTCTGTTGACAAATACCTCCTTATAGGTATTAGAAAAGCAAGGTAATTACACGGGAACATTCTCAACTTCTTTTATTTCTTTTGCCATCCCATAAACAAATCTGCATCCATGCTCATTTACTTCTTTCCCCTTTTTCAAGGAAAATTCTACTCATGTCCTTGTTGCCATCCCTCTCTACCTCTTTGTCTCTATATCCTTTGAAATCTTTAATCAGCTCCCCTTCCATATAAAAATGCTCAATTAGACCCTGACTCCACCTTTCATTCTTGCATCTTGTCACCTTTTCTTTTCATTCATGCAACAAGTATTACATTCCTACCAAATGCTAGACAGTAGAACCAAAGGGTAAAGACTTTGTCTTACTATCCTTCATCATTATGCCAGGACATAGTTTATAGTAATCACAACAGATATTTGCATTGAACCTAAATATAAGTGCATTCTATCGTTTCCTGGATTTAAAACCTTTAATAAATTCTCAATGTGCAGAGAATAATTTGGGGTTTCTATATTTAGAGCCTGGCATTCAGGATGACCCTCCACAATGAGGGCCCAGCTTATCTTTCCAACTTTATTTTCACTTATTCTTACCCTCACTCTTTGGCCAAACCAATCTACTTTGCATGCCCATGTGTACCCTGAGCTTTCCATGCCTTTCTTCAGGATATATCCTTTCTCTAGTTTGCCTTCATCATCTCTCCTCCTCTTTCTTCACAGCCCCACTGCCAGATCCAGACCCTCTTCCTGCCTTCTCCATAGGCTTTCCTGGATTTCCCCAGCTAAGGTTGTTTCTTTCTCCGTGGAATTTCTCAGTTACCCATTGCCCACAGTTAGTATCTTCAGTCTCGTTTCACAGTCCCTACCCCGGCATGAAAAGGCTCCGACTGTAAGACAGTGGTTGATACCACTGAATTTTAAGCTTCATGTAGTGTATTTATTAGATAGTAAATCCGAATTCCCCTTACTTTTACTATCTTGTTATAACAGGTGAAAAGAAACTTGGTACTGTTATCACTCCAGACACATGGAAAGACGGTGCAAGGAATACCACAGGTATTTTTCCATTTGGAAAAGAGAAGTTGAATCCCATGCTTCCTGTGACGAATGTTTTAGCTTTACATTATTTGTAAAAATAAATCTTTTGTGTACAAAATATTTTATCTCTTAACTATTAAAGAATTCCAGGTCCCCCAATAATTTAATATCTTTTATTTAGTTCTCTGGGTTACATGTTAAGAGTTCCTCATCTGTCAGGCAAAAGATAGCAAAATCATTAAATGATTTTCAACCAATGAGTAGATCATAGTAACTGATTTGATTCCGCTTTATTAGAGTCTGCATTTAATTCCCCCTCTCTTCACCTGACTTTTATATTCTTGAACAAATCATTTACACATTTACATTTTCACCTTCATATCATTATATACAGTTGAGGTGTTTCCAAAGGGAAGGAAAAGAACCACTTGTACTATATTCAGGGTCTATGGCACCGAAGTAGTGGCTTTAAGATTTTACACTAGATAAATTAAGTGTAGACCCATCCCTAAAGTCCTCTTTTGAGTCTGAGAAATAAAATGACTATCCACAATTTTATTGCTTTATAATAAATGTTTTCTTTTTAAGTAGTGTCTTAAAAACCTGGGTATTACCTGGGGATTTTTGAAAATTTTGATCCGGACTAGTCTACTGGTAGGAGGCCAAAGAATGAACTTTTTAACTAACTGTTAAATGTATATGTTATAGTGAAATGTGCAGAAATAACCTGCTAAAATACATGTATATTTTGATTTAGAAAGTGGCGGAAGAAAGCTGAACGAAAATAAAGCTTTGACTTCAAAAAAAGCAAGGTAGGTAATAGGAGCAGCCACTCCACAGGGATATAACTTTCCACTCTCTTTGGTCTTAGACATGCTGGAGTGAATTTGGTGTGCATCATTCTATCGCGATAAAACAGAGTTCAGTAGTTCCTAGCATGCAAAGCCAAGCTGTCTGTTACAACCTGCTGGTTTCACCCTGCTCCTCCTCAGTGTATCAATATATGAAGATATTAGTGCTACTTTTTTAATATATAGTTTCATCAGAAAAAATGACTTTTATTTAATCTCTTTTTTTTTTTCTTTTGAAAACTATGATTTCTTATCCCTAAAACTACTTTGCAGTTTCATTCAGGTGCTTCAGTGTGCTATGTTTTATAGAACTAGTTTTGGAATAATATTGCCTGGTTTAGGTTTACTCTAGGTTATTTTATCTGGTTCTTAATTCTCATACAAATTGGAGGTAATAGAGGGATGTAGACAGATCAGAAGCTCTGGAGTCAGCCCTAAATTTGGATTTGGACTCTGTTCCTGTCTAGCTCTGGGGCCTTCAGGAAATTAAGCCAGTTTTCTGAACTTTACTTTTTCATCTAAGAATGGAGATAAAAGTGTCTCCCACCCTAAAAATCACTTTTTTTTTTGACACCACGCTTTATTATTTCTAGTCTTAAAAATGCCATGAACCCTTCCAGCTGCCACCCCATTGCCTTGCTTCCCTTCACAGCAAAAGTTTCCAAAAGCCTTATTCAGATGCTTTCTCAGTTAAGTCCGATTCACGACTTCAGCCCCACCAAACCCCTGCAGCTGCTCTCAGCAGGATCACACCTGATGGACTTCTCTGTTCTTACCTTACTTAACCTTTTAACAGCTCTCATTTTTGCAACCTTCTGTTCTCTCTCTTTTTTAAAGTAAGCTCTACCCTCAATGTGGGGCCTGAACCCACAGCCCCGAGATCAAGAGTCGCTTGCTTCACTGACTGAGCCAACCTGACTCCTCTGCAGCCTTCTGTTCTCTGGGCTGTTGGGTACCATACTCTTTTTTCCTCCCAACTCACCGTTCCTTCTCAGTCAGGTGCCTCTGGACTCAATCCTAGACCTTTCTCTTTTTTTTTTATTTATAAATGTATATAATCTCTCCTCAAGTGACTTTAGTCCAAAGGCTTTAAATTCAAACTGTATGGTTTTTGTTGTTTTTTTTTTAAGATTTTATTTGACAGAGAGAGAGAGTGAAAGAGGGAACACAAGCAGGGGGAGTGGGAGAGGGAGAAGCAGGCTCCTGCTGAGCAGGGAGCCCGATGTGGGGCTCCATCCCAGGACCCTGGGATCATGACGTGAGCCGAAGGCTGACGCTTAATGTCTGAGCCACGCAGGCACCCCCAAACTGTATGTTAATGACTCCCAGATTTATATCCCCTGTCCTGACTTCTCTTTTGAGCTCCAAAGATATACCCAGCTGCCTACTTGACTTACCGGTTTGGTGTCTACCAGGCAACCTCTTGTTCCTGCAGTCTTCTAATCGGAGTCTCATCATCACTCCCCTCCAGTCCAGCCTTGCGAGCCTAAGAGCTAGAATTCTGCACTGATCCCTTCCTTTTCCTCACTTCTCTTTCATCAGCAAGTTCTTTAGCTCTGCCACCAACATGTAACCTGAATCCACCTGCTTCTGTCCATCTCACTGCTATTACCCTCTTCCAAACCACTGGTATTTCTTACTTAGATGCCATAATAACTCTCCATCTTTCTGCTTCCTCTCTAGTTCTTTATGGTTCAGTCTCATAGTAGCCTGAGTGGTCCTTTAAAGGGCACAGAAGTGCTTTTCTCAGAACCCTGCATTGCTTTTCTTTTCACGTAGAATATAATCTAACCCCTCCACCCACTTTCCTAACAAGGTTTTCCATGATCTGGCCCCTCCCACCTCTCTGACTCCCTGTTGCAGCAACTCCTGCATCAGATAGACCAAGCCCACTCCCATTGGAAGAGGTTTGTGCTTGCAGCTCCTTCCTCCTAGAGCTCGTCCCACAGAGCTTACATAGCTGGCACCTTGTTACTAGGGTCTCAGCTGAGATGTCACCTCCTCAGAGTGAGTCCCTAACCAGCATTTGAATTAATATCTTCCCTCCTTCCCCTCATGTCTGCCACAATATCCTGTTTGACTTTTCTCCTCAACGTGTATCACCATCTGAAAAACATGTTTATTCCTTTACTTACTGTCTGCCCTTTACCTGTTATCTTACTAGAATGTCAGCTTGAGGACAGAGGCTTTGTCTGTCAAGTCATCTCTGGTGTGTAAAACAGTGACAGGCACATAGTAGGCACTCACCAAGTATTTGCTGAATGAATAAACACCTGTTTCATGGCATCCCAAGGATTAGAAATAATAATAATAAAGCTTTTACTATCTGTAGTGTCTGGCTACCATAAGTACATAATGGTACTTTTAAAATAATGGATATAAAACAGCATAAGAGACTTAATCTTCAGCGGAGCGTCACACTAAGTATTGCTCTGACTTATTGATGTCTTCTAAGACCGTTCAGTTATTATTAACTAAGTTGTAATTTTTACAGATTGTACAGTTTTAGACACTTCCAGTTCCTTTATGCTCCCAACCTCACTCCAGTATCATTAATAAGTAGCTGTTACTTTGGATACTCCAAATGTCTCACATTGGAAAGCATACTATTGTATTGCATTGAATCTAAGATACCAACACTTAGAAGATGTATCATTGCTTTAAGAAAGAAAAAGCTCTGCCAATTAATTGTAAGATTTCAGACATACTAAAATGTACATCTTAGGATAAAATATGGTTTGAAGCAAAAGTAAGCATCCATATGGATGCACACAAATCGAGCTTATTAAAAAGAGGAATATCTATCTTCCCTTGTGCAGAGTACAGTGACATTCTTTTGGGTTTGGAGAAATTAACCTTTGAAAATGAGCTATTGTATTACACTACCCCAAGAGAAGAAACTAGGTCTAGGACAGTGTTGGCATTCGGTATATGAGTATTGTTACAAAAGTTATGGCCAATTTAGGGGGAATTATTTTCTACTCCAGTCACTATAAGGTGGCACTTTTATGTAGTAGAAACTCTTTTATGCAAAGGGATTGGATCAATTAATGGAAAATGTCAGTTAAAGGAGGCGATTATTTTTTTTTTAATTTTATTTTTTATTTTTTTAAGATTTTATTTATTTATTTGAGAGAGAGAGAGAGCACAAGAGGGGGGAGCGGGAGAGGGAGAAGCAGACTCCCTGCTGAGCAGGGAGCCCGATGTGGGACTCGATCCCGGGACTCCAGGATCATGACCTGCGCCGAAGGCAGTTGCTTAACCAACTGAGCCACCCAGGTGCCCAAAGGAGGCGATTATTAAAACATACACATACCTTCTTATAAGCCACAGCACATAACAGCACATGCATTCATCAGTCCTTTGGCACTGAGACAGGCTTTTTGAGTATGAGTCTACTGATAAGAGTTCATCATTTTCCTCACATAAATCATAACCAGAATGCACATTTCCAATATCTTTAAAGTGGAGCCAAAACTGACAGACTTGCAAAGTGGCAAGTCCTTCCACTTACGATCTTGCCCCTATTTTGAAGCTGTCTCACCTAATTCAGTGGCAGTTCAGTGATTGTCACTGACCCAGCCATCCTAAAGCATTCTCATAGTTTTTAATAGAATTGGTCACTCTTTTTGTACCACATTTCATCAGTTTCCATAATATTAAACTATATCACACACACAGATTGGCAAATACAACTTGTAGAAACAGGTTTGGGATTAAGGAACTGACTGTTCACCAGCATACAAGTCATATAGAAGGGGCAGGGGTGTGCAGGCGCGGGGAGAGGAGCCAGCTGCAAGCGTGCCGTGCCTGTCAATCAGACAGTGTGACACAGAACAAAGAGCATGGATTGATCCCATTTGTTGCTAAAGGGAGGTCATTTAAGTGTTTCTATTCTATTATACATTTTTTTCTTTTTTAAAAAAAAAAAAAACCTCTAGATTCGATCCATATGGAAAGAATAAGTTCTCCACTTGCAGAATTTGTAAAAGTTCTGTGCACCAACCGGGTTCTCATTACTGCCAGGGCTGTGCCTACAAAAAGGGTAAGTTTCTTTCAGTACCGTTTTTCTATTCATATCTAGCCTACTCTTGGTGCTGACTTAGATAACACAAGAAAGGAGTAGCCTTTCATAGATGCTGTTCATCAAGTGCTCTTTTTTCTAAAGCAAGATAAAACTTAGAACTTGTTTGTAGTTACAGGTCTATGCTTTCTTTTTCTTTTCTCTCATGCTGTTAATTTATGTTTTAAGCCTCAGGAGTGACTTAAATAAAGCAAACTGTTGGTATTCGGTATTTGGTATTATTAGTCGGTATTATGATTTGATTGCTTACATGTTTTGTTTGTTTGTTTTAGGCATCTGTGCAATGTGTGGAAAAAAGGTTTTGGATACCAAAAACTACAAGCAAACATCTGTGTAAATGTGTTGATGACATTTCTGGCTTTCTACATGATTTTACTTTTTGCTTTGAATTTTCAAGGCATAACATAGGTGTTCAAGTTCCAAAATAACACGTTTTAAGACAATATTAAACCGAGAAAGTTGATTGGTATGCATTTTTTGCTCTTAAGAAGTTCTAAACAACAACGTAACTAGTTTCCTGCCTTATTAGTTCTTTCCCTCACAAGCATCTTATTGAACTAGAATAAGTGGCAAATTTAATGAGAAATATTATCCCATTTCTGTAGATGCTTTTTATTTATCATTATTCATGTAATTCTTATCCTCACTCTCTACTTTATTGATATCGCAAAAGTGAGAAGGAGATTATTGATTGATATTTTGCTCTGAACTTTGCATCAGACTTATAACTCTTCCTTCATTCCCTTGTTGGTGGCATAGTTCTTAGAATCAGCAGTCTCTTCATTAACTGTAGGCTCACAGGGCATTGAAATATCCAAGACCATTAAACCTGAATAGTTCCTTAGTCATTAGCCCAGACCCAAATCACAAGTTGTATTTATGATACTTTTTATTTGTTCTTGAAGCCGAAGTGCCAATACCATTTATGTGAGAATGAGAACACAAGGGTCAACCCGTGTGTGTCCAAGTGAATACACTGGATTTCAGAAAACTACATTTTATGCACATTACCTTGAATTCAAACTGTCATGAAAGCCAAGAAAACATGTCATCCATGGGAATGTGTAATGAATGAGTTACAACTCTTTAGGAAAGCTCCTTGAAGCAAAAACCAAACTTTTTTTTACCGCCCCTTCCCACCCACCAAAAATAAATAGAACAAAACCAACATTTTGACTCTTCTCTTATATATGACACAGACTGCTAAAAGACAACTTTGAGGTTCAAATAAAAATTTTTTTTATGCTGCCTTCAGAGGTGTAGGACTTCTGCTTTTGAATCTTGCAGCATACTATGGGAAACCAAAAACATATTTCCTATTGCAAGCGCAGTATGTATAAATACATATCACTATAAAATATGTAGGATAGATAACATGATATACATGGTATAGATACTACATTTCTATTTGTTTTAAAATTATTATGGAAAGTATTTAAAGTTTTAACTGTTTATCTGTAAGGTTTTTAAAATAGTATTTCTCTAGGATACATTGTTACTCTTATCCAGAACGATCATAAGGATGATGCAAAATATAACAAAAAAAGCTCTGAAAGCAGAGAGTATCTCCTCGCACTTCAGTCGATTAGGGATTTTTCATTAAAATCAATACAAGGAACCCATAATAGGATCCAGTTAGAGAGTGGCCCAGATCTGTTAAAAGTTGGGTTGGTCGACTTTAGGAAAGTACATTTCTCAGGTATCAGCTGGGATTTAGACTTCCACAACTCACATTTCATATTCATGCCTTGCATAACTTCCTTCCAGAAATGATCTACTGGCCAGACTCAAGTTCCTCCATGAAGATTTTCATTAGTATTATACTCAGGATAGACTCTAAGCATTATAAATCTTTATATTATTGAAATAATAATATGGTATAAATTGAATAAAAGTTGTAAAATGTGAAGGAAAATCCCCAAATAAAACATGAACATAAAATATTTTTTAAAAGGAAGGCATAAAAACAAACTATAAAGTATGCCTGGGTGGCTCAGTCGGTTAAGCATCCAACTCTTGGTTTCGGCTCAGGTCACGATCTTAGGGTCATGAGATGGAGCCCCGAGACAGCTCTGTGCTGGGAGTGGAGCCTGCTTATGATTCTCCCTCTCCCTCTGCCCCTCCCCCCATATCTCTCTCTCTCTCTCCCCACCTCTAAAAAAATAAAAACAAAAAACTATAACAGAATTAAGACCTAATAGCTTTTATCAAAGTAAATATAAAAATGAAATAACTTATTTTTTTAAATCTGATCGTATTTAAAATATACATATTAGAAACAAATACCAATAGAACACCTTTAAGTAGATTCATTCAAAGACTATGCAGCCATCAAAATGATGGAAGAATTACACATGTGCAGAAGCTTGTGTGCACATATAAGAAAAAACTTTGTGGAGTGGAACTGAAGGTTGAGAAAAAAGAGACTTAACCGTTTGCCCTCATGCCAACCACCTAATATATTTTAGCTCCTATTTCCCTTACATGGGGGAGCAAGAGACTACTAATTATAGTGTCCTAGAAATATATGTATTTAATGCACATATATGTATATGTTTTGAGAATTTTAAGTAGAAGAAACCTACATTGTTTTGCATTTAGACTTCTTTTTTAATTGTTTCTCTGTTTGGTTTACCATCTTCTATCTCTTGTTATGTATTTTTTCTTGACTCATCTGAGAGTACATTGCAGACCTACCTTTTTTCACTTTTAATGTTACAGATGTACTTCATAAAAACAAGCACACTAAGTAACAGTTCTCAAATTCAGGCATTTAACAATGATAGAATTTTCATCTACAGCCCCTATTCCAATTTCAGTTGTTCCATTGGTAATTTTTTTTTTTACCTACAGAATCTAGTCCAGGATCATATGTTAAATTCTCATGATTCTGTCATTTAGAACGGTTCTTCAGCCTTTGTCTTTTGTAGTATTGATCTATTGAAGAATACAGGACAGGTAAAATATAGATTTTCCTTCAGTTTGGGTATTTGTGATGTTTCCTTGTGGTTGGATTTGGGTTATGCAGTATGAGCTAGAATGCTATGAGTGATGTTGGCCTCCCAGTGTCACATCCAGACTCAGCAATATCCCTTTGCCCCATATTGATGTCCATTTTGATCAATTGAGTAAGACGTCATCCAATTTCTCCACTGTATAGTTAGTAATTTTCCTTTTGCAATTAGTAGATAATTTGTGAGGAGAAACTTTTGAGACCATGTTGATACTCTATTCCTCATAAACCTGCCCCTTATACATTTAGCATCCTTTGATGATTCTTATCTGAAAACATTTTTTACTGTGATGTTTACAAAACTGTGATTTTCTAACTACATCATTCTTTCTGTATTAACTAATTGTCATCCAACAATAACGGAGAGATTTCCCTTTATCAGCACAGATATCTGTATAGAATAAATGCTTTTTTTCTGACCATTGGAGTGTTAGTTACAGATACGATGCCCTTTTACCACAAATACTTGTGTATTTCCTAAGAACCAGGATATTTTTTTACATAACCATAGCACAATTATCAAAACCAGAAAATTAACATTAATACAGTACTATTACCTAATCTTTTCCATATTTCGCTAGTTGTCCCAGTAATGGCCTTTGTTAAAACAAAAAACAAGTCCAGGGTCCAAATCAGAATAACACAGTACATTTAGTTGCCATGTCTGTAGTCTCCCTTTAATCTAGAACAATTCTTCAATCTGTTTCACAAGTGTCAAGGTCATGAAACACAAAGGTCAATTATTTTATAAATTCTCCCTTCATCTGAGTATTTCTGATATTCCTTCACAGTTAGATTGAGTTCACACATTGTTGGCAGGAATATCATAGAAGTGATGCTATGTCTTTTTCAGCGCATCTTATCATGGTGTCGGTTGTTCCATTACCAGGAGTTGATTTGGATCGCTGGTTTTAGGGGGTGTCTGCTAGATTTCTTCACTGTAAAGTTAATATTTTTTTCCATTAAGTTAAGCATTTTGTAAGGAGATACTTTGAGACTAAATATTCTGTTTCTCAGCAAACTTTCACATACTAATTTTAGCATCCAGTGATGTTTTTTGGATGAATTGTTACCCCTGAGAGTTGCCAAATGGCTTTCCAATTCTACCATTCCTTTTACATTTATTAGTTGGCATTCTGCTGTAAGGAAAAGCTTTCATTTTCCAACTTAGCATGAATTCATGGATTGCTATTTTATTCAGGTCTGTTACTCTCACGTGTTTTGATGTCAGGTTGTCCCAGATTTGGCCAGTGGGAGACCTTTCAAGGTGGCTTCTGGGTCTTTTAGACATGTTCTCATCCTTTCTTGAAGAATTTCTTACTTTCTAGCACAAGATGTTTCAAGTTTGTCCTATATTTTTTCCTACCCAGCACTGGAAGCAGCCATTTCTCCAACAATCCCTAGTTTCTCTTAGTGGAGAATGGTGTTTGGATGCTAAGGTCTGGGCCCTGCTGGGTTGCCATTGACTCTAGGCCCCTTCAACAGAAGGAGCTAAGAAACACAGATACTAGAAACCACAAGTTTTACTAATACTTCCAACTCCAATTCAGCCCCACTGGGTTCTTCCTTGTCTTCCCCCATTCCATACTTGTATCTTCTTCCTCAGAACCCTGGCTCCCAACATCATCCACAGAGTCACTCATTTGCAGAACTCTGAATTTTTTTTTTTATATTGGTCATGTATTTTGCAATTAGAACTATTTTTTTTAGGTAAGCCCACAGAAAAATTACACATGTGAATTTTTCATCAGTCTGGTATTCTAAAAGGGAAAAAAAAAGGTTGGAAATGTGCCTATGCCACCTCCCAGATAAATTTGGCGAATGAGCAAATGGTACTAAATAACTTTTTTCAATTCAGCTAACATTTATCGAGCCTCTACTTTGTTTTCTCTGTTTGTCCCTAGTCAGACTGCTGTTACTGGTTCCAAAATGTTTTCTCGTAAGCAAGAACTTGATAAGTGACCCATCGAATTAATGTGAAATTATAAGGTGTGATAACAGGAACAAGAAAAGTATTGAAAGAATAGTGACTAAAGAGAGGGGCTGGTTCAAAGACAATAATCCTAGCAAAGTAGGAAGTAGACTAAGGTGTAGGTACCAGGAGAATGGAAGTGAAGGGACAGATTAGAAAGAACTGATAAAGGAAGATTTTTCAGACTCGTCGGCCAAATGGGGGAGTGAGGAGGTGAGTCACAGCGGGTCTCATTTAGATGTGGTAATAGTAGGTCTCTCCACCAGATGGCAGTAGTGTTCTTGGTTTTTAATTTTCCGTCAAGCTGATAGATTTGTAGTTTTAGCAACTTAAAGATCAAACAGATGGATTTGAGTTTCCAACAACATTGTGAAGAATTAATGCAGTATGATACCAGCGCAAAGACAGAAACAGACCAGGAGTAGATGAATCCCTGTATGGAAAGGTGGCATTGTATATCAGTGGGGAAATTCTTCAG